ATGCTATAGTGAAACATATTTGGCTCCAAAAGCAATGCATTTAATGGCAAAACTTGTCTCTCATTTACGGTTCCATAAAAAGTTTTGAAACACTTTTATAATGCATTCAATGATGACATCTATTGCTATCACAAACTCTTATACAATTAAAGTCTAGTTTAGAGTAAATTTATTTATACTCTACTAATTAATTAATAAATAAATTTTAATTTACTCATTAACTCTAATTTAATACTACACTAGTAACTACAGTATATAGTTTACAAAAGCATATTGTTCATTTATTGCAATATTCAAATCCTATTGGTATTACTGTCACAATATGTTACGATTACACTCTACAGTATATTCCGAAATAAAGTAATTTAAAATTATAATTAACACCGAGATTGTCATAAGTAATGTACAGAACATATGCCATAATTATTGGCATGCAATCAATAAATTGAAATAAATGTTTCAATATTCACACAAATCACACGAAACCTAAAAAGTTTAATGCATTGCTGTATGTATAACGGGGTGCGACTGTACTGACGTGTGTTGTGTGTGTTGTCTATCATATGTTGTCTGTAGTCGTCATCGAAAACAATACAACAAAACTAAACAATCATTTGATTGTCGTTTCAATCGTCGCTTCAATTGAGCCCTAAATAGCCATTGAATAGCCATTTGTGGCCTAAATCTCATCCAAACATCACTTTTTGGGCCAAATCTCGTACAAAATGATCGACAGTTTATTCATTATCAACCAAACGGGGTATGACTTGGGATGAGCTAACGGGTGATGATATTAATGGTTGTGATATTGGATTGATTTCAGCGACATCTTTATGGAGAAGCACTGGAAGTCTGTGGTTCACCGATCGGTGTGCGACTACTTCTTGGAGGCCCAACACCGGCAGCCGTCGCCCCACAACATCACACCAGTGATGGCTACTCCACACCATTATCTCATTTCCATCTATCGGTGCGGTCTATATCTGGTGGCCGTCACTCACAACGAGATTCCGCCCCTATTTGTCATCGAATTCCTCCACAGAGTTGTCGACAATTTCATCGATTACTTCAATGACTGCAACGAATCGCTTATTAAAGAGCATTACGTTGTGGTCTACGAGCTGTTGGACGAGATGCTGGACAATGGCTTCCCGTTGGCCACGGAGTCCAATATACTTAAGGAACTCATTAAACCGCCCAATATTTTGCGGACAATCGCTAATACAGTGACCGGACGGACAAAGTATGCGCCCGTGTTTTGTGGCCACAAATCTATTGTTAATTATCTCTTACCACGAATTGTCTGATTTGTTGTATAGCGTGAGCGCAACTCTACCGTCGGGTCAGTTGTCGAACGTCCCGTGGAGGCGGACGGGCGTCAAGTATAACAATAATGAGGCCTATTTTGATGTGATCGAAGAGATCGATGCCATTATCGATAAGAGCGGTTCCGTTGTTTCCGCTGAAATACAAGGATATGTAAGCAATCAGTCAATTAATACCCATTGCTTTTTCACTCATTAATTTCATCGCATGTTTTTCGTTGCTTTTGTTTTTATTAATCCATTTGTTTAATTGAATTCTTGTTTAATTTTTATTTGTTTTTTGATATCAATTATAAAGTATTTATGTATTTGTTTGCTATGTATTGAACAACAGATCGATTGTTGTATAAAACTGTCGGGAATGCCAGACCTGAGCCTCTCGTTCGTGAATCCGCGCCTCTTCGACGACGTGTCGTTTCATCCGTGCGTTCGGTTCCGGCGCTGGGAGTCCGAGAGAGTGCTGTCATTCGTTCCCCCGGACGGCAACTTTCGGCTCATGTCCTATCATATCGGCGCACAGAATATGGTGTCGATTCCCCTTTACATCAGACATCACATCTCATTCAAAGATGTCGGCCACGGAAAGATCGAGATACAGGTCGGGCCTAAACAAACCATGGGCAAACTTGTAAGCAACATTCTCTCTCTCTCTCTCTCGTTAAGCATTAATCTCTTGATGATTACATAACAGTATACTTCTATACAAATATTGCATTTTATATAAGAATTGAATTTTGAGTCGAGACTCGAGAGAATCATTAGAAAAGGATTTGATTTTTGAGAAATAAGTTTTTAGCAAATATTTACACATTTTTGGATTAAGGTTTTTTAAATATAAAAATAAAGTATACTCTCGATATAGTAAACCAAACGGCAGTACAGAATGCAGTATATTATATCATTTATGTTACATATAATGTGGGCGTATAGGAAACTATATAAAGTATAGGGTATGCGACAATATAGTGTTGGAAATGCATTTTAAACCGATATTCTGTATACTATTCACAACTTATAAAATATGACTACTGTTTGAAATAATGAATGAATTAATTTGAACGCCTGTTTCGGCCCCACAAACAGTTGGAAGCGGTTATAATCGAGATATTAATGCCGAAAACAGTGCTGAACGTAAACGTGACGCCAACTCAGGGCAAGTACTCGTTCGATCCGGTGTCCAAACTGTTGGTCTGGGATGTCGGCCGTATGGAAGCGGGAAGACTGCCCAACATTAAGGGTATCATCAATTTACAGAGCGGTGCACCCCTTCCCGACGCCAACCCCACAGTACTCGTCAAATTCAATATCAGTCAACTCTCCATTTCAGGCCTCAAAGTGAATCGACTCGACATGTATGGCGAGGTTAGTGTCCGTTTGAAAGCATTTGCCAACAAACAAAACAAGTGCCTTATTTGTGATTTTAATTAATTGTTTGTTTTTTAATAGAAATACAAACCATTTAAAGGAGTGAAATACATGACAAAAGCCGGTAACTTCCAAGTGAGGACATAAACACTTCCATTATATCCGATCCATAAGCTTAAGATAATTATGTGGACATTAATTTCAATTTTTATATTATTATTACTATTGGAAAGCTTTTATGTTTTTAAAAATATATATATCCATTGTTTAAAGAGTTAGTAAAAAATCATTAATCAAATAAATAATGAAATAATTTCGAGATTTTTTCAAGAATTAAATTAAATTTATTTCATTAATAACAGTAAATCTCTAATGACTTCATGGCTTCTCTAATATAGATATCTATAAATTGATTCAACGATTGATTTAAAAGCATTTGTTATTATATTAGAAATAATTTTTGAAACGATTAATAAACAAAAAGTTCGGGAAATTTAAGTGCGAAAAGCGGTGGTCCGACGCCATTCACCTCAGACTCGGCGCACAACTCCTTCAACGGATTCTCGTAGAAATGCCAGTCCTTATCGCCGGTCAGCGCTTGTCCTCCATCGTCACCGCCGGCGCCGATGGCAACGCTGTCCACGCAATCCATGAACTGTTCGTCGCCGACCACTTCCACGTCCGGCGCCACCGCTTTGTTGGCGTCGATTGTCTGTAAAGCGGAATATTTGGTCAACGCTTCCAGCAGTTTGTGTTGCAAATCGTTTGACTATTTATTTCGATAGATATAATTATCGCATGAGTTAGTAATCAAATCAAAACATATCATGTATTGAATGGTTTGTCAAACCTTTCGCTCGTATCGGGCGATGAGGTCGTGAAAGGAGGCGTTTTTGAAACGGTCCACGATTTGCAATCGCCTGATCTCCTGCTCGTCCTGTTTGGCACTAATCGGTTCGTTAATTATCTTTCGCAACGACTCGAATGTTATCTCTTCTTCTGGTTGTCTCTAAAATATGAATTAAGTTTTAAAAACCAATCGCTTAGACATGTATACGAAGGTAATGCATACCCGGGGCAGTCCAGGCGATGAGTTGACACTATCGACTTCAACCGTAATGGTATTGAGATCACTGATACTTCTGGTCATCGATGAGTCCACTGAATAATTAAATCATTTTTCATTACATTTCTTATAATTTGTCTAAAAACGCAAATTCAATACAAATTCAATACAGACCCATATTTCGTGGCATAAATGGTGTCAATAGAGCGCTGATATCGTGTCCGCTGCTCTGCAACGCCTCCGTAATGACCGCTTTGTTGAACATGAGCTCATCCCAGAGGTCGTCGGGAGGGCTGGCGTGCAGTTTGGCGTCGATAACATCTCGACGCGCGGACTTGTTTTGCTTGTTTTCCGCGTTCCTCTCCGGCAAAAACCACGGCGTCTTCTCTGTGCGGCATTTGATGACTGTCTCGACGTGAGTACAATAGGCAGGAATGGCCACCAAATGGCCGACCAGATGCAGGAAACCGGCGACCAAACAGTGTATCGACGACTTGTGCCGGTCGGCGAGTGTGGATCCCTTGGCGGCGGCCAAGTCTTGGATGGCGAACGTCAACCGCAACAGCTCTGCCAGTGTCTCCTCGGAGTTGAGCTCAACGCACAGTAACGCCAGCGTTGCGTAAATGGCGTCAAAATTGTTATCAGTATTATTGCTGAGCTGAACGTTCTCGTAGATGTGGAACAGCAGTTCTGTGCCGTGTTTTTTCATGAACATCAGGTCCCGTCGGTCGGCCTTTTCGATTGTCAACTGATCCGGTGATGACAGCGACACCGGACGCGACAGTTTGGGCAGATTGTTGTGCCGATCCAACAGCTGATGGAATATCTGTTGAACAGTGAGCCGAACCTTCGGATCGCTGGCCAGTGAACGGGACAGCAATGGATTCAAGAAAGAGGTGGGAAATGCTTGCGACATATGAACGGTACGGTATTTTGTGGTCACTTTCAGCAAACTCTTGAGTATAATGTTCTGCAGCTGTATGTCAGTGGCGGCGGTGACAGTTGGCGGCGCTTTACTCATTATAAATATCATTATTTCGATCTTCTGATAGTCGGGCAAATTGTTGGCGAACTCTCCCAATGTGTTGATCACAGTCTCCTGGAACTGCTTCTCGTCGTCCACATGTCTGACGTCCTGTATATTACTGATGGAAGCCCTCAAGTGATGCAACAATGAGTTAATCATCTCAAGAACGGACGGACCGATCGATTCCGACGCCGAAATCGATACTATGTTTGACAGAACGTTGACAATACCGGTGCGGACCCTAATCTGGGCGTCGAGTGGTATGTCCTGAGATCGGGAGACGTCGTCCAAGTGGCTCATCAGCATTTGGATGACTGCATAGGAATGTTGCGCTTGTATTGAATACATGATCACTTTGAATGACTGGACAGCGAACTCGTTGGGCTGACGGGCCTGCCATAGCTGATGGTTGTCCAAGTGCTTGATCACGGGCTTCACCACACTGTGCACGTGACCGAACGCCGCCCGACCAATCAGATCGCGAAGACACTGCTCGGCCACCGACGAGGCGGCGGCGGGCGCTGACTGGGAGGAGCCATCGGTTACGGAGCCGGTGGTCATACAGAGCACGTCCTGACATTGCATATTGAATAGAAGTGATGGAACTATTTTATCCATGTGTTGCTCTTCCCAGATGTCCGCCTGAAGATCGTCGCTAACCGTCTTCCGGATCACACCTTTCAAGCCGTTCAGACCCGCCGTACGCAACATATTCCTCACCTCTAGATTACTGTTCCCGTTGTGACAGAGGGACGAAAATTTGGACACAAAAAAGTCATATCGACGGTGATATGACGGCGTGTCCTCTTCTATGTTCGCAAACTTTACAAACTTTTGGAAAATAATTTAAAATTTTCATTAATTAGACTCTAATTTTGGAGTTTTAAACGAGTATTAGGTATATATGGGTACCGATTGAGTGGCCAATAACTGCATGTCCGGCTCGTGGCTCTCCAGAAGTTGCTGAACAATCTTGAGAAAGCTCTCGACAAAGAGGTTTAGTGTCTGTGCGTGACAGGCGACCAACAATTGGTCCATCGCGTCCATCGCTATCACTACAAACCTAATCGATCGGTGGTTTTATTGTTGAAAAATCATATTAAACTCATTAAAATTTTATGCGCTTTTCATTTCTCATTAAAATATAATTAAAAATAAAAACAAAATAAAAGAGAACCAAAAAACAGACATAAATGTCATAATAAGTAATAAAAAGCACTCAAAACAAGATAAAAGTGATCGATAATAAATACTATACCCATTTCTATGTCGAGATAAATCGCGGGCCACTTTACGGGCCAAATAGTCGCCGATTCGGTCTAACTTTTCGGGCGATGACAGGGCATAGAAAGTGAGTTTTTCCATATTTGACTTCACTAAACCATCCTATATTGGGTTCAATTCATTATAAGTTATGACACATTCTAAACACCATTAAATTGTTGTCATAATTTAAGTGCCCTTTTATTATAGTATCGCTATTTAAACAAATAAGGGGTGGCATTGAGGGGGCGGTCGAGCGCATACAATATTGCCTATTCTTTGCATAATTAATTGCTTTTCCACTCATTAATGCTTTTAAAACTAATCAATTAATTAGTGTATCCACTCTTCTTCCTATACAAGCTATTTATTTATAACTTTTTTTGATATTTATATATAAATATAAAAGTGTGTGTAAAATATAGAGTGTATGTAATCTATTTTAGCTGCAAGAAAGTGAAGGACTTTGTAATTAAATATTAAAGGGGACTCAAATGAGGTTAGAAATAGACTTATTATTATGAGTGTATGAGTTTTGGTTATGTTATATAAGAAAAATAGTTAATATGTATTGTATTAAAAGTGTAATCAATTGATTGCATACTTGAGGATTGGAAGGGAAGATATTATCGACTAATCGCTTATATCTCGGTCTGAGAGCTGAACAACAGCCACAACAACCTGTGAGGAAGGAAATCATGATTTATATCCGACAATAATAAGTCATAACATTCACTAAAAACACGGAGAAATCAATTTAATTCATATAATGCTATATAATAATAAAACGATACACTAATTATAATCACGGCATACAAACAAAACACATCAAAAACTACTAATCATTGAAAAACAGACAATAAAAACATTTGCAAATAATAAGGTAAAAATGTTTGTAATATTTTCAATTTAAACTTATAAAATATATTATTAAAACCATTAATAATAACCAAAAACATGTCACAAATAATAGAGGAAAATAATAATAAAAAATATATATAATCAAACAAATGAACGGAAATATTACTATTAAATATTAATAATAACACTATTATTTAAGGAATTCAAACGACCAATATATAATATATTGTATTGGTGGGCGTCATACAGTATACATACAATATAAATGTACAGAATGTGAATGCAAAAGTGTACAAAACGAACTAGGTTGGTTATGTGAAAGAATGAGCTGAAATAATGACTTACATTCTGGAGGGTCACATTGTTTGAATGCACCCCCAAACCAATCGGTTGGTGTCACACAGCATGTGATGCATGTTATGAATGACATTTCGGGCGAACATTCAATTCATTATAAATATCATCTCATTTTGTGTTTCTTAGTTTCGTTGCGAAAATATAATAATAACTATTTATTTTTCCCAAATATTCTCTTTTATTTAGTGATAATATCTTAACGATTAATAAGTGATTCTCTTATAAGAATTAACATTACTCTTGATTAGAATATTAATTAATTAATAATAATAAATGATTGCATTATTAACGGATAATATTTATTAAAATGCTATATATATTAATATATATATTGAATGGTGGATGAGATTAAATGGATGTGTAATTAGTATGAAGTGATGGTAATAGCGATGGGAATGAAGTATTAGATGAGAATCTTAGCCAACTTGAAGACGGCTCTAAACCCAGCAAACCATGAGAGGGGCGGCGGAGGGTTGCGAACAACCGCACGGGTTAATCGGTTGCTCACCAATGCGTTCACCATTTTTTGCTTACGATTGCCGGACATATTCGGGAACATAATAGACGTCTTAAGCGCACACAATATAACAAGAATATCACGTTTTAGATAAACGAGACTTTAATATAATTTATATAATATTATATTGACTTTGATTTGTGTCGACCAAATCACTATAGCGTTAACTTTTTAGTATATAACTTATACAACGAAACGAGTATAACAACCAATTGTATAACGAAAACAATGATTATTAATAAAATATTATTTAATATTCTCTCTAATGAATGATAATTAGACGCAAAGTACAAAACACTCAATGATATAACCAAAGCCTCTGTGAATATCAATTGATAGGTAGAAGAGAGAGAACGAGAGAATTGAATGGCAAATAGAGAGTGATGTGAAAGCAATAAAATGTTTGCAACCGAGAAATTAATTGCTAAATAATTATATTTATTAGCCGTTAAAATGTATTTTATCTGTTTTATCAATCTATGCTATCGATTCACAAGACATTAAATTATATTTATATATAACAACAACACAACAGCACAACAAAAATTATAGAAAACTTTTTGCTCTCCAATAGTTAGAAGTTATTAACAGAATCGTTGAATTGCGTTAAACAACAACTATTCTCGTAATCTTTCACTCAATATATATATAAATCAAAATAATTTTTTCGCTGTCAGTGATAGGCTCGGGGTATATATGAGTCGTAGGCAAAGGTGAGTCCGTCCTATCGATTTTGAGCGTATATTATGTGTATATATATTATATATGTATTATATATACGATGTTTTAGTGGCAAAAACAGACCTAAATATCAGACTCTAAACACAGGACTCGCGACTACTTTTCCTTTTATCTGTACTTCGCTTATGCGCTGAGAGACGACTCCATTCGCACATCACTTCCCAATCATAACCATATTTTTAGTGATAGCACGACGACAAGCATCGCATCGCAAATATAATGCCAACGCTTTTATAACCACTTTCTCTTACAGTTAGACAATTATTAACATTATATTACATCTAACTGTGTATTTATAATGTATATATTTTTTCTGCCACAAAAATTTTTAATCTCATTAAAAGCTATTTTTTCCTCTAAATGCTCTCTCGCGGTGTGTTTGCCTTCAGATAAGGAGAGATCCACTAATAATTAATCATAAAAATTATATGCATTTATATACTTATATAGCGTATGAATGGTTATAATGAAATGCATACATCTCTTCCCAATTCAATCTATAATTTTTCTCTCCAATGAATTTCTAATGTATATTTGTATGGATGTGACGACAAGTACTCTCTTCTTATCGTGATTCCCAGCTATTGGTCACAAGCGATGAGTTATTGAATATTCATAATAATAAATGCGATAAAAATCCTAAAACTATTTTCACAATTAAATTCTTGCACAATATATATAAATATATAAAACATTATTTATTGCATTGAAATTCAATTGAATTGTAAGCAAAAAATATTTTGCTAAATAATGAAGAAGAAAAAATTGTATAAATCTATTAAATAATAAATTTCCTACAAATACAGAATGTGTTTATAGATGTTTTCACAATATTCTCTCTCTCTCTCTCTCTCTCTCTCTTTCTCTCTCGTGTTGATATTCAAGGGAAATGTGACTTCAATTATAAAGTGCCTCTTTTTGTTATATAACTTTTCGAATAGACTTATATCGAGTGTCAGTTCCCGTAATTGCGGTAATCGTGACAATAGTAGAGAGAGAGAGAGAGAATAATTTTATTAGTAACCGTAAACCAAACAAAAAACAAACTTAATGTAATATTTACTTAAGAAACTATTAAAAAATTGGATATTGTTCCAATTGTCATTTAATTAATACATACATGTATATTTAATACAAATTTTAACTTTTAAAATTATTGAAAAAAATTTGATTTAAATATTTATGCTGTAATAAATCAGGTGTAATTTATACAATTTGTTTAATTTTATATAATTAAGTTTGAAAAAATTACCTGGTAAATTGTAAACTGAATCTTGGTAATATTAATATATTACCGAGTTATTTCAATAATAAAATAATTTTAAAAAACAATGAATTAATAGCAGACATGAAAATGTTCAACTATAATTTGTGGTTAAATATATGTTGTAAGACCTATTATGTAATTATTTTATTGTATTATAATATTACAATATGCTATAATTATAATAATTGTTACACAATATATGTTTAAATACATCATTTAATATAATTAGTACAAATAATTATCGTAATTAAAAAAAATAAAAACATTAATGTAAGAATCAATTACACAGCAAATCCTTATTTACCATAATAAAACTTTGTATCAAAGTTTAGACAAAATTCAATGTTTTTTAGTTTATGACTTTTGGACAACAATTCAACAAAATTCATTATCTCTGAGACAATCGCTTCCATTGTAACCATTATTAAAAGGCAATTATTAAAAGGGTAAAATCAACATTATTTTATACAAATAAAATTCTAGTGATTTGAGTGGTATATTTCATATGGCTAGATGATATTTAGTTTGACCTACGTTGTATGCCATGGAATGCAAGGTACTGTGGGCTAATACGCTTGACCTCTGAGGTTATCATTAGTACAATTTATTGACATAGGTGGCATGTCATGGAAGGCAAGGTACTGCCCGTTAATACGGTTGACCTCTGAGATGATCATAGGTACCATTTATTGACCTAGGTAGTATGCCATGGAATGCAAGGTACTGTGGGTTAATACGCTTGACCTCTGAGATGATAAAAGGTACCATTTATTGACCTAGGTGGCATGGCATGGAATGCTAGGTACTGCCCGTTAATACGGTTAACCTCTGAGATGATCACAGGTACCATTTATTGACCTAGGTGGCATGCCATGGAATGCTAGGTACTGCCCGTTAATACGCTTGACCTCTGAGATGATTACAGGTACTATTTATTGATCTAGGTGGCATGCCATGGAATGCAAGGTACTGTGGGTTAATACGCTTGACCTCTGAGATGATCACAGGTACCATTTATTGATCTAGGTGGCGTGCCACGGAATGCAAGGTACTGCCCGTTAATAAGGTTAACCTTTGAGATGATTACAGCTACCATAAATTGACCTAGGTGGCATGCCATGGAATGCAAGGTAATGCCCGTTAATACGGTTAACCTCTGAGATGATCATTGGTGTAATGTATTGACTCAAATTAACACTATGTAATGGTGGCTGTCGTGCGCTTATCAATAAATAAAAGACATTAATGGACCGAATATAAAAATATACATTCTTTTAAGATTTTTAATAATTATATTGTATTAAAATGCGGTTGACATGTTAACTAAATGAAATTTAATAAATCGACCATACCAAATATTTTACTATGTTTTTTGACTACATTACAACTTTTTGTATAAATGTTTTAAAATTAATAAATTATGAAGTGATAAATGTTGCCCAACGTTTATTAATAATAATATAAGGTCAACTGCCAAAGTTATAATTAAAATATAATTGCATTCTCAAACAACATTATTTATTTATTAAATTTTAAATTTAATACAATAATTAATTGCAAACCAAAACCTCGTGGTTAATACAATCGGCAATCTCAGCACCATGATAACCGTAATAAAATTTATAATCAATTTTGCCCACGAGTTCAGCCCCGTGTGTACCGCAACGTCCGACATAAGTATCTGTATTCGGGTGACCCTTATTGCCGACCACAACAGCACCGGCCGGGACCGGGTCCTCCCCGTGTCGGGGAACCCACTCGACATTGTCGGCGACTAATACCTCGAACTCTTCGGTGCCTTTGATGGTCACCTCTCGGCCGCCAAACGTGAGGACACAACCGATCACTTTGTCAGCTCTGCCTGCGATCACATCGTCGTTGTGTTTGTGTCGACATATAGTTAGGGGTGTTTTGTCGGTATCAGAACCCGCAATATATGCGTTAGCAGGTATTGTCGACTGACTCGCCTTAACCCAACTGTGCGTACATTTGGCTGCAAAATAATGAAATGTTTTAGAAAAAAGTTTAAGATATTGTATGTTGAAGAATAACTAAATTAAAACTATGTATTACATTGTAATAGTATAATTTGTAAAATAAATGTTTCGTTAAAACTGTAATATTGTATTTAAAATAGGAATAAATCATAATAATAATACCATTATTTATAAATTGGTAAGGGATTGCTTGGATTAAAAAATTTATAGCATTTTATATAATTAAATATTTATGTAATTTAGATTTTAAAAATAGCCTATTTTATAATTATAACACTATAAAATCTATTAAGGACCTTGGTAATTGGTTATAATTATTTTTGCTTTTATATAATTATTTTACTTATCTTAACAAAGTTAAATATTACTTTAAATTAAGAAACTTTATAATACAGAGAATGGAGCAGATAAATCCGGACGACAATTAAATCTTATTACTTTAAACATGGTTAACTCAGATGGTTATTATGCATATCAAATTAAAGAATAGTTATCGAGAAAATAATTAATATAATTTTTATTTAAAATTAAATTTGGTATTGATTTAAATTGGGGGGAAAAGTTTTACAGACGGCTTTTGACAAAAGGTCGGGTACAATTTCATATCGTAACATAGACTTGAGTATTGTTATTTAAATTTACATTTTTAATTGACGAGATGATACAATTACAATATAGCAATGTAATTTAGTATAATTTTAACTTGGAATTAGCCCGCAACATTTTAAATAAATCACCAATAAAAAGTGAATCAAACTAACAAAATTAGTTAAAAATTTGGCAATTTTGTCTTTTTTAAAAATATAATGCAATGTATTTAAAAATAAGTCTAAACTGGTTAACCAAGCTTTAATTAAATTATATGACATCAATATATCTTAATCTTAAACTATATAACATTAAAAATGTAAATTTAAATAACAATACTCAAGTCTATGTTACGATATGAAATTGTACCCGACCTTTTGTCAAAAGCCGTCTGTAAAACTTTTCCCCCCAATTTAAATCAATACCAAATTTAATTTTAAATAAAAATTATATTAATTATTTCCTCGATAACTATTCTTTAATTTAATATACATAATAACCATCTGAGATAACCATGTTTAAAGTAATAACAATTTAATTGTCGTCCGGATTTATCTGCTCCATTCTCTGTATAACTCGATTAAAAAGCAAATCACAATATAAGTTTGTAATTATAAATTATATAAATATCATAATGCATTAAATTCATACCTTCTTTATGATAATTGGGATTAATTGTTAGGATAAATGTGCGGATCTGTTGCGGAGTTAACCTAACGGTCATATCGTTGTCATCGTTAGCACCGGCGCTGATATCAAACGATTGTGTCGAGTGTTTTGAGCGCCACTCCATTCGCTTCGTCTCCGATAGCAACTCATTGGCCGCTAAATTCATTTCAACCACTTTTTCAATGTTTAATGTTTTCAATACTTTTTGCAAATTAATGTCAACGGGTTTTGCGAGCTCTCCCTTATCGGCCGACTCATACATGTGCTCAAAACGGACCAACACTTCCCGTTCGGACCACTTTTCCAATGTTAACAAATGCACGTTTTCGGGCAGAGCGTCGCCAACAGCCGACAGACTGGTCACGTATTTCTGCGAATAGTCAGCGATAGTCGAGTACTTGTCAAACGACACAATCGGTGCCATAAATAGACTCTGCGATAGACTTCGCATGAGTTTTGGTGAGTCGGCGATCGTATTGAAGTACAAGTAGTGTCGGCCCCGCACTTCCAGTCCCTTACCGTCAACACCAGGTTCGTCTATTTTAAAGTCACCACCCTGGCCCTTATTTTCAAGTCGCCGGTGAACCATAAGCTCGAGTTCACCGTTCATTAGTGATGAGCCTCCCTGTGTCCGATCGTTCAGCACGGTCATTTGCAAACCTTATAAAATATAGTATATATTAATTTTATTTATTCATAAAAACTGTAAACAATCTCATAAATTATAGTAAGATAAAATTAATAATTGAATTGCACATTAAAACTGGTTTGCATGTGTGTGTCACTATAATAATTTTTGCGATATAATTATTATAAATATCACGAAGAATTTCAATTATATTACATCAAATGTTTAATTAAAAATTATTTTAAGATTACCTTGATTCTCGTCTCTAATGGACACGTGACTATAAATAGGGAACCAATTGGCAGTAATCACGTTATCTCTACAGCCCCTGGCGTTGGGGTTATATTTGCGGCGAATAGTCTGGCGGCCATTAGAGTCGGTATAATACACGCCATCGGTCTGGAAGTCGGACTCAAATCGGGTGATAATCTCTTTGCCAATCTTGTCGTTCATTGGTATCGCACCGACAGTCCAGTCAAACTCAATATAGTCCTCGTCCTCATACGTGCGCACCGTTTGGTGAATAAAATCAGTGAACTGTTGGTTCAGCTCATGTACGGCACCCGACGTATGCCTGGAGACCAGCTTTTGTTGCCCATAGTTCCGGGCCTTACCGTCCGGACAGAACTGATAACTACCCGAGTCTTCGAGACCCGGTTGTGATTGAACTGATTTATACCATTTGAACGACTGATTCAATCGGTGTTTTTTCCCGTTGATTGTAATGGACTCGAGAGCACCGGTAGTCTCGTCCACTTGTAGTGTAAATGATTTGCCCTTCATTTCAATGGTGGCGGCCGTGCGCTCACCGCTCAGCACATCCATCAACGGGTCTGAACATAATGTTGTAAAATATAATAATTTTAATTTAGTGGTAAAAAGTATTTTTGGGAACTCTCCATTATTTTAATAATTAAAATATTATAGATGCTATTTTTATAAACTTTTTGATTATATTACAGTTTAAAATTATTTTAATGCATTAATTCATGGTATTCTTGGTATTCATTAAAGCTAAATTAAATTTAACAATACAAAGTAAGTATTGAAAAGATTTATTAAATTTATGATAATTGTATTAGTATTACTGGTCAAAAAAATTATTTGTAAAATATTTTTATTATAATATTATAATTTTATAAAAATTATTTTTATTCTAATATAGTGGTAAAAATCGCCGCTTCTTCAATAGACCATTAATGTATTAATTAAAATATCATTGATGTAATTTTTATAAACTTTTTCATTAAATTACAGTTTACGATTCTAATCATATAAAAGTATAATAATTCAATTTTATATAGTTTAATGCAATCTATCGATCTAGCTTAACTATTTTAAAAATAAAGTTTAAATAAATAAGCAAATATATTATATTAATCTTACCTTTTTCTATCGCTTTATGTTTCTCAACAAAATAAGTGGTGAATCCGAGCGCCGGTAGCTTTGCGTTAAACACCAACTCATGTGTTCCGAGACTACCCTTACGTTCGGGCAATAGTCTGACCGCTTCGGACACCGGGAGCAGTGATTTGGCCGACACTTCAGCGCCGGTCGAGTCAAACACACGATACACGCCGTCAGTGACGGGCACTCGTAAGTACTGAGTGACGGGTCGGGCGATCGGGTTATAGGCAGTGATGGCCACCCGATCCGCGGTTTCCGTTAGCGTACAGTCAGTTATATTGAGAAAATCGCAGTAAACGTCGTTTAAGACCACCTTTTTCTCCGAGTCCTTGGATTTGAGATAACTATAAGCCTTACGTATGACTTGTTTGGCGGCCGCGTATCCACTCTGTAAGCGACTGGTGTAGTCATCG